TATATATATAACAAGCCATTTATAATTATTTAGAATCTTAGAAACACATTTTTTGAAACACTCCATAGATAGATAACATTAATATAGAAACTGCTGAGGGCCCAACTCCTGTCTCCTCGGAGGCGTGGAAATCTGGGGTCACCTGCGGCTTTCAAGGCAGAAAACATAGGGGATTCTTAGGGAGTGAACCGAGAAAACCACGAGAAATTCATCAAACCTTGGAAAGCACATGGGATTTTCATTGGATTTTTTTTTGGGAGAATCTCATTTTTCTAAAATACTGTACATGGTGATTGAATGGGAATATCATGAGATATAACAAGATATAACTAACAGCATGATATCATAGGATATTTGGACATGGGTCGAGTCCGGACCAAAATCAGTGGTTCTGTGGGTCTTGAACTTCGACCACATGATCATGGAACATACAAATGGTATCAAATGGTCATGTGCAAGTATTGGTTTTACCATGTTTTACATTCTGGTATTCTTTTAGCTGAAACAGTCAGTAGGAAAAGCCGTTGCATGGAGCTCATGGGACTGCACCACATTACTGTTTCTATACAGACAACATTCATCCGATGTACAACCTGGATACTGTTCATAAGGACTGAACAAAAAACACGACAATTAGGGATTCCACCACCAAAAGGGCCTATCCAGGGCTTATTGACCACCAAGTCACTAGCAAGGGCTTATTAACATCTATTAACCATCTATTGTTTGGGTTGGTTCAATCCCCACGAACACTACAGAACTGTCACAGAAGGTGTCACCATTTTTCCAGTGGGAAGCCTCGTGTTGCCTCGTGTTGTTTCATTGCGAGGCAATGAGGTGCTGCACCATATCTTGACCACTTCACCTCAAATTCATATTAGGGGAGTACCATTTCCATCATACCATGGGACATAAGTTATTAACAACCTGATCTGAATGGATTTGTCTGAAAATGCTGGAAACCCCCATGGTTAAAACTCCTATATAAAATCTTCCGGTGACGGTTGATTCGCCATTGAAACTACTGTTTTTATGGTCATCCAGAATGGTCATCCAACAGGATTGCACACCCTGACTGTTGGGAGGGGTACCCTCAGTGACAATCTGTTCCTGCGACTCAAAATCCTATCGCCCAAATAAAACAGCCCAAGGGTTTAATCCAGGGTATTTCATGGTATTTCCAGCCTCAACGACTGGAGTCCACTTGCCACAAAGTCGGGCGCAAAGCAAAGACAACTCCGAATGCGTCAGAAAGCAATTGGTGTCCTGGAAGCCATGGTCGCTGCACTGCGCATGTTTCTGGCACGTCTTGCGGGCATCGAAAAAAACGAACAGACCACAGATGTTCCATTTTTTTCGTGGAATCACAACAAAAAAATGGAACATGTGGAGATGAATGGAGATGAATGGAGATGATATCTGGTTGGTGGTATACCTACCCTTCTGAAAAATATAACTTCGTCAGTTGGGATGACGACATTCCCAACTGAATTGAACGTCATAAAATTCCATGGTTCCAGTTACCACCGACCAAATATATTATTATTCCAAGTATTAACCATTATTAACCATAGATTAACCATAGATTAACCATTATTTACCATAGTAAAACCATTGTTTCATCAACGATATATTGAAGCAATGGTAAATAATGGTTAATCTTCGTTTCATTTGGAGATGATTTCCCTTTATTCACCATCATTACCCTCTGGTAATTTAACATAGCTATTGAAAATGGCCATTAATAGTGGATTTTCCCATTAAACATTGTGATTTTCAATAGCTATGTTAAATTACCAGAGGGTAAACATCACTAATCACTAGTCAACCAAGGATGTTTAGCTCAGCGTCAAAGAAAACGCCGACGTCCTGAATACCCCTCCGCTGAAGTTCGCAAGAGACCAGGTCGACGTGAGATCCTCGGTACCTGTCGTGACATCTACGGGACAAAGGCTGGTTGGTGGTGTGCAAAATGATAGGCGAACGTGTTAATATACTGTTAATGATTAACACTATTGTAATGATGGTTAAGTGTTAATATACTGTTGATAGGCAAAATTAACGGTTATTATATGGTTAATGATGCTTAATAATATCATATATTAATGGGATTATAATGGGATAATCATCAATAATGGGATTATATCATAATAGTGGTTATAATACCTATAATACCCTTTATAGATAAGTGGTTGGTGGTTTCAACCTACCCCTCTGAAAAATATGACTTCGTCAGTTGCGATGATGACATTCCCAATATATGGAAAGTCATAAAAAATGTTCCAAACCACCAACCAATTGGGGTTTATCCCATTTACTATACGATTCATGCCATTGACATTGACCTATGCCACCATTTTCTTGGCAATGTAAAAATTGGTGAATGGGATAATTATCATATATATATATATCAAGATTCTGAAGCACCTATCGAACTGGGTGCACATCCAAGAAAGCAGCTTGCAAGCCCCGCTTAAGGGATGGTATCAATTAAAATGCGAATTTGTATAGTATCATCTGAGGTCATACCTGTCGTTAAAAAAAACAAACACTCTTGTAGCCCTTGTATTCCTACAGGTCTGGCGCCCCGCACGAGCCTCAAACCTTTACGTAACACTCTACTTGGATGTCAAAGTGGGTAATGACCATATTCATTCATGTTATTTAATGACCATATTCAAACATATTATTCTTTAATCCAGTTGCAGATGGGCTACATCCCAATTAAACATGCCAAACGCTCAATGTATGGAATGTTTCCAACTTTTTCCCTACGACCCAAATGCAGTGAAATATACCGTCGATGGAGCATTCAATTACCCTCTGGTAATCAGCCACGTGGCCTGGAAAATCCACCATTTAGTTCAATCCTGTTTCCCATTCAAAACAGCATTTATAGATGCTATTTGATATTTATAGATATTTATAGATATTTATAGATATTTATAGATATTTATAGATATTTTTGTTGCCCCATTCAAACCTATGATTTTCCCTTAGTGTCTTGTTGCCCCATGAAAACCCCACCTGAGGCAGCGCAGCTTGGCGTCTGCGATGTTCCAAAGCCGTTCCCACGCTCGGTCCTGGCCGTGCTCCCAGATCCCGGACAGCGAAGAGCTTTGAAGGGAACATCCAGGAACTATAAATGAAGGTTGTAGTGGCATCCACTGTAAATGAAGATAAATCAAGCATTTAATGGGAAAAAAAAACAACCTTGAACAAAAACACATAAATGAAGTTTGGTTTTTTCCCAGCATTTTCCAGGTCCGCCCAACCGTCCTCCGCGGAAGGATGGCGCCCTGCCAGGCGGGTTTCCTGGGCGTTGTGCCGCAAGGACTCGAGTTCTATGGTGACCTCGGAGGCGGAGCTTTGTAGATGGGAAATGCGATGGGAAAATCCACTCTGAATGGAGGTTTCTAGTTGGGAAAATCTATGAAAATCATCTTTGGATGGAGGTTTCTAGCTGGGACAATCTTCTGTAAATGGATGGAATTTCCAGCAAGTCACGATTGATTGCCCGAGGCAAACTCAAGTGGTCAACCTGACAACGGTTAAGTCAGCGATAACAAACATGTCATTCTCCAAGGTGTTATCATTTTGATGAACAATGGTGAACTCGATGTATTGGACAATGTCAGTTAAATTCCCAAGGCCATCGTTAAACTCCAACGCATTACATGTTTGTTAAGGGTAACAACAATTTGAGGTGTCATGGAACTACCTGAAAAAGAAAAACACATGGCATTGCACAGCCACCCAACCTGGGCAGGAACACAACGCGATACAAGGCACATTCAACATGGTGAAAACAAGTGCATCTATAATTTTGAAGGTGTATTTCATGGTTTAAGTAAGTAACCATCAAGTATTAACCATCAAGTATGGATTAACATTGAGGATTTAACAATCAAATATAGATGTACATGAAGGTATATTCTAGATGTGTCCCCCAAAAATGCATGTGCTCTGGCTTTCAATACTATCTAATGTGTTCAAATGTGAAAAATGTTTTATGTGCACATGCACGTGTATCATGTAACATGTTTGCCTCTCCTTACTAGATGAATATATAATTATACAATATACATATACATACAATATCATAATCTATATATATATACATACATACATACATACATGACACACATACACATACATACACATACATACATAAGACCAATCTAAACTTATGTACACTATATTTTAATGGGGGGTAAATGGGGGATCCCCAGTCACCAGGTGATCCGACTTTTTCCAAGGCTTTTGGCAGATCGACTCCAAGAAGATACGCCAAACACCTCAACGTTTCGGCGGAAAAGTGCTGAAGATTTACTGATTGGGAAGAGTTACTTGGTGCCAGTGAGGTGAAGAGTTGGTCACTTGATGTTACTTGATGTTACCCTCTGGTAAACTAACATGGCTATTGAAAATGGCCATTTATAGTGGAATTTCCCATTGAAAATGGTGATTTTCCATAGTTAAGTTAGTTTACCAGAGGGTACTTGATGTTACTTGGCTACTCTAATGCGATCTATGGCCCCATCATCCGGCGTTGATGTGGACAGCTTTTTTTTGCCAAGCTATGTAAGATATCAATTCTAAAAATGTGTTTTTTTCTCCACAAGCGAGCATGTCGCACCTTTTCGACCTTTTTTCGACCTGACATATGTCATACAAGGAGAACCCCCTACTTATAACTTGACTTATAACCAGGGTTAACATATGTTATAACTAGGGTTATCTCATGTTATAAATTCCATAACTTATGTTAGACTTACATCTTAGTTATGAACTTATAAGGTAACTTGTATCTTTTAAGTGGAAAGATACTAAAAAGATACAAAAAAGTTAGCAAAGTTAACTTTTTTATTTTCAACTTTTGAAAGTTAGCTCGGTTTGCCATTTTTGCTTCATTTTGTGATCTTTTGCTGCGTGTGGTTCAAATTTAGCGTTTCTTCTCAGTTTTGGCGAGCTCTTCGGTTTTTTTGGGCCTTTTTGCCATGCAAGGGGCGGGTCTGCTTCCAGCTGCTTCTGAGCAGCCTCAGGCTCAAATAGCTGCTACTGAGCAGGCTCGGGCTCAAATGCAACAGTGGGCACGCTTTCCGCTGTATTTGACTCAAGACGTTTGGAACATCTTGCAAGGGAGCTCCGAGAGACAGCTTCGGAAAGTGGAATGCGTCACTTCGCATCTTGTAAGGTTGGGCTTACGAAACCCTTCGGAGCGGACCATGGCAACCGTGGCTGCTGTGATTGCTCAATGCGATGGCCAAAATATGGAGGATCCAGACACTGCAAAGCAAGTTGCTCTTTTGTCAACTGTGAAGAGTGTGATGAAGACCCATATCATCCGAGCTCGTCAGCTTGGCACTCCGATTGGGGGAGGTTACTTGCAGGAATTGCCTGTGACCTGGGAGCAGCTACCAGGAGAAATGCGCGAGCGCTTTTTTCCGACTGGATTGGTGCAGCCGCCGATTGACTTGAACATTGCATGGCGATCTGGGAATGCGTGGCCAATGCGCAGCACTCATCGTTCCAGGCAATTGCAAGGTGGCCACACTGACTTGATCTCTTCTCAGTCTGGGTATGCTGCTGCGATTGCTCAGCAAGCAGCGGTCACGACGGCTCAGGCTTTGTTTGCTTTGGTGAACCCGGGCGCAGTAGGGCGCTGTTCTGAAGTGCAGCTGCCTGGATTCCAGCAATTTCAGCCTGGGAACCGTGAGATGCCTGTCAGTCGAAGAGATGAGTCTTTGAGGTTGATGTTGGAAGAAGCCAATGCAGCTCCTGCAGCTGCTAGTTCTTCCAGCGTGCCGGCGGCTCCTGCCTCAATGTCTCAGCAGTTGGCCCTGACCAATGGCGAGCCGTCGCAAAGCGTTGCCGCTGTTGCGACGCCTGCAGCACAGTCTGCGGTGCAGCCAGCGGTGGATTCGCAGCCGGAGGGGTCAGCTGCGATGGAGGCCGCGGAGGCCGCGCAGGTGGAAGCAAGTTTGGCTATCTTGGCCAATGCTCATTACAATGAGACGCTGCCTTCAGTTTTGTCGCCGCCCGAGGAGGCGAGCGCATGCAAGCGGCCTGCAGGTAAGTCCGCTGTGAGCGTGAAGAAGATTATGAAGAGGCCTGCTGCTGCAGCAATGCTGGCTTCATCTCCCGAGAAAAGGATTTACCAGAAGCCTGCGGCTGCATCTTCGTCAATTGGACCCAAAAAAAAGCCAGCGGCAAAGACAGATCAGGAGAAGAAGATTACTCGGGCTAAGGCTTACGAGCTGAGGCCAACGGGCTGCGCTCGCTGTCGCCATCAGCGCGGTTGTTGCCCCAGCTGTTGGAAGAAGAAAGGTATGATCCTTGTGGACTGAAATTTTGAGGCATTGCCACTATAGCCGCTTGGTTGGAAAACAGTTTTTGATTTTGGTGTTGCATCATTTCTTTGAGATATTTCATTGGAGATGGATAGTATATATATAATAATCGATTGATATATGCATATATATATATAATATATATATATATACACATATATATTACATTTGTCTCTCTCTCTCTCTCTGTCTTGGTTTGCATATATTTTCTTGCAGTATACGTTTGATGTGTGTTTATGGGTTTGCTTCCGATCAATTTTGCTCAAAGCAACATATATTTGTACAACAGTATTCTCTCGCTCTGCGCAATCATGTGGCAGCCATTTGATTGGAGGCGAGATGAGACCGGTGATTTTGTGCAAGTGCAGTGGCAGCAGCGCGGCATGGGGACTGGTCGCATGATTATGAAAACTTTGCCTGCGCTTTGGCGGGAAAGCAAGAATGAGAAGCTTGAAGTCTTGAGTGTGACTTCTGACTCCCCGAAGCAGCGGCGCACGACGCCGGTTGAGCAATTGCCACTGTCGAAAGAGCAGCAAGTTGTAGCAGAAATGATATTTGCTACTTTGGAGGACTTGCGGGGTGAGCAGGGCAGATCGATGTCCGCAGAGCACCGCAGTGAGCACATTCAGTTGCTAGAGGAGGTAGCTTTGGATATTTTGGATGCAAGCCTAAGTGCATGCGATTTGATGCAAATTAAGATGGCTGTGACGAGGGTCTCAGCGGCTCTCCAGGGCTGAACTTCGACATATTTTGAAGGGAGAAAAAATATCGTCGGGCTATTTTGTTTCATCGCTAAACTGGCGGAAAGCTGTGGTCCATGGTGTGTGTGGGAAAGATGGCGGAACTTGATCTTGTTATGTTCTGCAGCCGTTTGGTTCAAGGAATCACACGGTTAAGGGTGCCCTGGCCTGCGCTGGCTTGCTCAGGCCGGTTCTTTCTGGGAAATGGATATAATATAAAGAATATATTATATGTATAATATATATAATATGTATATTTTATTTATCAAACAATAGAGAAACCAGAGGGCAGCCTGCGTGCGCGCGGCTGGGCAAAGCTTGCGTTCGCGCAGCTGGAAGGGTGTCCGCGTGCGCGCGGCCGGGCGCAGCTTGCGTTCGCGCAGCTGGTTGTTAGAAGCCTGCGACTCGCGGGAAAATAGCTTGCGTGCGCGCAGCTGGGTGAAGCCTGCGTTTCGCGCGGCTGGGTGCTGGGTGAACTTAGAAGATCTGGTTGTTGCTAACGATTTAACATGTGTTATGTTAGTTAAGATAAATTATGAAGAGTTAGCAGAAAAGTTAACATGAGTTAACTTGAATTATGATGAGTTAGGATAAAGGGTTAGCTAAAGGGTTAGCTAAAGAGTTAGCTAAATAGTTAGCAAGAGTTAGCCACAAAAAAACATGTATAGTTTTTTGGAAAATATGATTGTATTTTGGTGTTGTACAGTGAGGTGTTAAAAGATATTACGTCTTCATTTTGAGCAAAAAAATCGAGCATTTGTGATTTTCAAAAAATCCTGCATGGTTTTTGTGTTTGGGGCAAAAAATAAAAGTATATAGCTTGGAAAAAAATGTTGCTGTGGATTTCAAGATTTTTGAAATGATCATGATTTGGAGACACTAAACTTGACAACCTGGAAAGCCTATAGGGCTTGTTTTGCAGGCCATTCACAAATGGTAGCCTGGACAGGCTAGTGCTTTGTTGTCATTTCAAGGCATATCAGCTGCTAGCCTGGAAAAGCTGCATCACCAAAAGCCCAAGCCTTTTACAGCTATTTCCATCTTTTGCACCCACTGCCAAGGCAACAAGAGTTTGAAGGAATTGCCTTTGCCTTCTGTAAAAGCAACAGAAGCTTCCAAGTACTCAACACTCACCAAATCCTTTGTTGGTGACAAGGTGCAATTGGCTGAAGCTGTTTCCAAATTGCAATTTTCCACATCCAAGTATTGCAGCAAGCAGAGGACATGCCCAGGCACTGTAACAAAGGCAAAAACTTGAGCTGCTTGAACCATGTCGCCCTGTAGCAGCACAATATCACCCTTGCTGCATCGATTGCAATTCTGCAGTTTGCACACCAAGCCTGTGGAAACATTGGCATGCTGGCCAATCCTTTCACATATAAAGTCAGTGAGCTGCTTGGTGGCTGGGTGTGGATTGAGAAGGCAAGGCCCTTCTTGGAAAACACCTGGCATTTGCAACCTAGCAATTTCTTCTGCCAAGATTTCTTTCCTGACAGCACTTTCAAAGTTGCTGGTGTTGTGCATGGGGTTTCCCCACTTTTTGACAATTTTGTTTTTTCTCTCACAAGTGAAGCAGCTCAACAACTTGCCCCATCTTTGAAGTTGAGAAGGCATATGCAAAGGCCAATGGTATTTTGGTATCAAATCCCAGCCAGCTGCAAAACAAGCTGCCAAGCAAGCCTCAACTGCTTCTTGCAAAAGGCCAGGGGTTGTGATGCCAGCTTGCTGCCCCTCTGACAACAAGAACACCACTGTAGCCACTGCCAGAAAAGCTTTGCAAGCATCTGGTGCACAATTTGCTGGCTGAACAACAGATTTGCAAAAGTGAACCATCACAGGCAGCAATGTCAAAACTTCAGAAGCCTGGCAAGTAAATTTGTTTTTCTCTCTGTAGCCTTTGACTTTTTTGTCTGCAAATAGCAAATGCAAGCTTGTAGCATTCAAATGCTTGGGCATGTTCCATTTCTGCACATAGGTTGCAAAAAAAATCCAAGAAACTTCCTTGGGCAAGGCTTCAAGGAAATAAAACATGGCAACATTCATGCAACCTCCTGAACAAAAGGCATGCATCCAGTCATGCCCATATTGAGAAGCTGGCCTGACCAAATCAGCAGCCCTCAATTCTGCATCCAAAGGTAGCAAACAAGGTTGCCAAGTCAAGCCCACTGCTTTTTGCCACAACCCAAAATCTTTCTTCTTCATTGACTGCTGTCTTGATTGCAACCTGTCATATGAACCCAAGATCTCCTCATTGCTGAAAACTTTCAAAGCTGAAAGAGTGCTGCAATTACCCAATCTGGATTCCATTGCCTCTCCTTCAGCCAGGGTTTCATCACCTCCTTTGGGCTCAGCTTGTACATTGCAAAGCAAGCATGGTTTCAAGCCAGCATCCCCTTTGTTGCTCCAAGTATATTTGTGGCTCCCACCATCCTGCAGCAAGACTTGCAAATCAAAAAAAAGCTTCAAACTGCTTCCATCTGGACCTGGAAGAAGCAAGCCAAACCTGGGGTCACATGGCCACAAGAATATGGTCTTGAGCAACTGCTTCAAAAGTTGGCTAATCCCACCTTTGACTTTGTCGATAATGCTGGATCTGACATGAAGTAAAGAAAGCCAGCTGAGCTCATTGCTCAAATCATCCAAAGAGAATTGCACGAATGTGCCATAAATGCACCAAGTTTTTCTCAAGCCAGGACCCAAAGGGTTGCCTGGAACCAGCTCATCAGTGTAAATCACTAAACCCCAAGGGTGGTCAACACTGCTTGGAGCAGTGGAATGCCTTTGGTCCAGCAAACCTTTGAAGGATGAAGTTCTACTGTATAGCACATCCAAATAAGATAGCAAATTGTTGCAGGGCACTGTGGTTTTGCCACCAGTCTTCAACTCCAATTCAATGTCCAGCTGTAGAGGGCCATAATGAAAGTCACCTTCCAAAGCAGCAGAACAAGCCCTGGACATACTGGACCTTGAAGAAACTTCTGGAAGCCCATGTTCTTTGATGTGTGCAATGATTGCAGACAAGGAAGTTTGTGAACAGTAGGGGGTAGACCTTCTCAAATCCTCCAGCTTTCTGAATTTGACTTTGGTCTCTTCCATGGCTGGATGTGCATTCTTGGGTTGCAACAAGGTTGTTTTGGAAGCAATCTTTTGAACATGCCAACACAGTTTATGCTTGCAATGGTTTGGTAATAGCAGTGGCCTTCCAGTTTGAAATACACACACCATTCAAAGTTATTTTGGTTTTGCTTTTGCTTGTGTTTGCAGCAGGGTGCCCTCTGTATACTTTGAAGCTAAACATGTACAAATTGCAGACACATACTGATTCAAAGTATGTTCTTTGGCATGGGTGCATGCCCATCAGCTCCACAACATGCAGGGTTGGGGAGTGTAGCCTGCACTGGCTATGGAAGAATGGCCAAGGAAGGTAGCCTGCAAAGGCTTAGGCATGCACAAAAGCCTGTTAAGGCTAGTAGCAATGTTGGGCTGCAGCCTGGCAAGGCTAAGTCAAAAAGAAAAAGCAAAAACACAAGTATGCACAACCTTCTAAGGTCACTGGTCACTAGGAATGTTCAGCTGCAGCCTGGCAAAGCTAAATCACTAACCTGATAAGGTTTGAAGTGCAAGCTTTTTTGGAGACCCAAGAGCTTGGTTTGCAGATCTGGACAAACAGCTGGCTACCCTTTGCTGTGGGAAAGCACCAGCCAATCAGGATGTTGTGGGGAAAGTCTCTCACCCTGAACTTTCCAGCACCCCATGCCAAAGCTTGTTTCTACTTCCAGCTTCTGCCTCTTTTGGCAAGTTCTGCCTTCCAAGCTTCTCTGCCATGGCATCGAGCACCCTGGAAGCTCTCTCTCAAGCAAACATCACAGCCATTTGTGTTTCCTCGACACCTCATGCACCCTGGCCTCACTACTGCTGCAGAACCTGCTGAGACTTGCCTGGGAGGAGGTGCCCTGGCAGCAGGTCTCTTCAGGACTCCTTTGCCAGCAGCCTTTCCTTTTGCTTTTGCCTTTGGGTTTCCCTTTGGGGCTGGCTTTTTGGAAAGGTTTGCAAAGGCTTCCTCTTCCAATCCTTCAGCAGTCTTTTCTTGTCTGCTAGAAGAGGATGCTTCTGGCTGGGCTGTGGGTTGATCTGTAGGTGCAGGTGCAGGCAAAGCAAGAGGCAATTGTGCCTGTCTTGGGGGGAGTGGCTGCATGGGCACTTGGCTTGGGGTAGGACTTGCTTGTGCACTTCCAGCTGCCCCACTGCCAGAACTGAAAGAAGACTGGGAAGGCAAGGCTTTGAATCTCTTGGGCTTGAATTTCTCAGCTTTCAAAGCCAAAGCCAAATCACCATCATCACTGTTCATCAATTCCTTTGCCTTCTTGAGCAGGATGTGGGCTCTCTGACAATCATCATCATCATCAGACTCATCCTTGTACCTTCTCCTTGTGCCATTCTTCTTCTGGTTCTTTTTGAGCAGCTTTGAAGTATCTCTCAAAGGAATATGGTTCCAGGCAATGTAGTTGATGTCCTCGAGGTGCTTGGCCACAGGTGGTTCACCAGCTGGGTAAGCCAAGGACACAAAGTTGGGTCCAACCTGCTCAGGATTTTCTGGGTATTCAGCCAAAGATGGTACTCCTTGGGCACATCGATATGAACTGGCATTGAAAGCTTGAGAGAAATGGTCACCAAGCTCATAGATTTCCTCATATGGTGGCATCTTCCTTTGCTGACATTCTATCATCACCAGAATTGCCAGCACTTGCCTCTTGATTCCTTCTTTGCAAGAATTCACCCCAATCTTTCTCAGGCGAGCAACCAAGGTTTTCACTCCTGCCCACAACCCCTGGGTATGCAAGGTGTTCCAATCATTCTGGGTGAGGTAGTTGTGGATGAAGTCATGCTTTTGAGGCATTTGTGTCAACTTCATTGAAGACTGTAGGTTGCCCCCAGAGATCACCAGCTCATCCACAGCCTCCAGCATAGACTGTTTGCTACCTTCAGGCAAAGTAAGC